CTTTTGGCAAAGTAGAAAGGAACGGTTGGCCATCGGTGATCGGTCCTGTGGGAACAATGCTACGTCCTCTCGAGGACGCGTGGTCAATGGTCTAACCGCTAAGGCATGCAAAACATAAGAGTACGCCCCCCCCCCGCCCCCCCTCCTGCGCCCTTCGATTCCTTTCCACGTGGTATCTGGACCATCCGTGGCCCGCAGGTTCAAGGTGGTGTCCCCATGCGCTCCGTTGCTGCGGAGGACCCCAGACCTCGATTCTCATCCTTGCGCCCAGCTGAACCTGTCCAGCGGCACCATCATCACCGCCGACCCTTCCAAGGTCTTCGGCACGACCGGCGGCACCGCCGCTACGACCGCCGCCGCTGAGACGGCGACTCCGCCGCCGCCGCCGCCGTCCGAGAAACCGGCGGCAGCGGTAGTGTTAGACGTACCAAAGGTTGCCGGAGTGCCGGCGGCCCCATCGCACGACGCAGCGGGAAACGAGGCGGCGGCGGCGGCGGCGGCGGCGGCGGCTCCAGACGGAGATGCTGCGGAGTCGTCTGCGGAATCAGCGCCGGGGGCGGCGGCGGAATCAGCGCCGGTGACACCCGCAACGTGTCCACCAAACCCCTCGGACGAAAAACCTCTTCCTCTGAGCACCGTGAAGGGGGATGCTCATCAGGCCACCGTGGGGGTAGACACGGCGGCGGCGGCGGCAGGGGCGGCTGTTAGTGCACAGGAGGGGCACTTGGGCGAACTCCTCCCTGGCAGCCACCCGCTGGTGGCGTCGGGGCGACGGGTGTGGGTAGTGTCTCCGGTGGTCGGGTGGGCCAGCGTGTGGGCGGAGACGGGGCAGAGCATCCTCACCCCGGCGGGGGCCGCTGCGGGAAACGGCGACGGGGAGGGCAACGCCCGCGACGGCGGCGGGAAGAAGCGCCGGCCGGGGAAGCTCGGCGTCGAAGCGGCCGCGGCGAAGGTGAAGGCGTGGCCGGGCCTCTCCCAGGAGGACGTTGATTGGCTGAACCCCCTGCTGGGCGTGTGCAAGTCGGATGCCGCCGGCGGGAAGAAGATGAAGTGGCCGCAGAAGGTCAAGATCCCGCCGCCGTCCGGCAAGTGGAAGCAACCCAAGCCCCTACTGCCCCCCGCGGCGATCACGGCGTTTTCCGGTCCGCCGCCGCCGCCGCCACCGCCGCTGCCGCCGCCGCTGACGCCGCCGCCGCTGGCGTACCCGCACTCTCCGTCGTGGTTTCCGCCGCAGCACGGGGCCGGAAAAGTTCCGAATAGCAGCGCCGCGGCCGCCTCGTATCCCGCCAAGCCCCCCCCGCCCGCCGCGGCGATCGTGGCGTTTTCCGGTCCGCCCCCGCCCCCGCCGCCGCTGCCGCCGCCGCTGCCGCCGCCGCTGACGTACCTGCATCCTACGCCGTGGCTTCCGACTAGTAGCGCCGCGGGCGCCTCGGCGGCGGCGCAAGCTTTCCACCCACAATTTCCGGCGCTTAGTCCGGCAAAGCAGCTGCATCTGCTGCCGGGTGCTGCCGACGCCCCGCCGACGGCGGCCAATCACGGCGGCCAATCATTCCCGCCGCAGCCGCAGCCGATGTCCTGTTCCCAGCAGGACGCTCCTACCCCCGCCGCAGGTGGCGGCGGCGGTGGCGGCGGCGATGACCCCAATACGGCGGTCCCTTGTCCCCTGTCGGTGTCCGCGGTGGGGTCGCCGCCGAAACCGGCCCCAGCGCCTGGGCCAGCCCCACCGGGGACGACGTGGCCGTTGGAAACGGCGGGGGGGGAGGGAGGTGTTGGCGTGCCGCAGGACAGCAGCGGTGTCGGCGAGGGGGGCGGCGGCGGGAACCCGCAACAAGCGGGGTCGACGGCAGCGGTAGGGCCGGGGGGAATGGTGTCGGCGTGGTACCACTCGTTCGTGCAACAACAGCAGGGCGGCAGCGGTAGCGGCATCGATGCGGGAGAGGCGACCAAGACCGAGTAGTAGTTTTGTAAGGTTTACGTTCTTCTCCTCCTCAAGAGTGTTGGTTACCCCGCGAGAGAATCCGGGAACACACAACCACCTGCACACAGATTGGTTCGTTTTTTTTTTTTTTTTTTT